GTAGTAGCAGAAGCCAGCCCCCCCATGAGCCACCGCTTGGTCTTGCACAACCCTCCCCTGCCCCAGTTGAGCAGTGCCTGCCCCCTCCTCTCCTTCCCTCACAGTGGAAAAGGCACTGATCTGCCCCACACGCCCCTTCTGACTTACCACCTGGAGACAGCTGTCCTAGCTGCCGGCTCTGATCCCCACAGGCATTTATTGGCCAAATTATCAGCCCCATTGGGCCGATATCCGATACAGCTAATTTTCTTTATATCTATACTTATCTGATATCAGACTGACGTATTGGAAATTTAATCTGCTCATTCTTCATTAGCCTTAAGGCATGCAACAACCAACAATGAACAGCAGAAAGCTGAAAATAACACTGGACAGAAAGAAAGAAGCAAAACCCTGACAATTCCATTATTTGTAAAAAAAAAAAAAGAGCACTCAAATTACAAGTTATACCATTTGAAAATGTACCCTTTCAGAAAGTTACAAAACTAAGAAACTGCAGGTTGATAGGGACCCTTTAACAACAGCCCTGCAGAGGTTATTTTCCTTGGTCAAGTACTTTAATATAATTAAGTTTTATATCTATTTATTTATGATTGTAAATATAGGAAAGCATACTCACTTCACATCTGCCAAGGTAACTTTTTTTTTTGGGGGGGGGGGGGGAGGGTTGTTTTTTTAAAGGAGAAATCAATGAAAGTCCTATCACAATTCAGTAGCTTCCTTATGCTTCTACCACCCACATATTGAAGCCTTTCACAATTCACAATAAGACAACTAAAATAATCCAAATGTTTAATTTTGTTTCCTCAAGAACCGTTGCATTTAATCCTAAAAGATAATTACCTCTTCATATATATTTTTACGGAAATCCAAGTCCTCAAGCAAACTCTGACAACGATTTTCAAGATCCACTTTAAGTAAAGTTTCGTCTACCAGCTGTTTCTTGGCAGCAGCCAACGAGGCTTCCAACTTAAAGGAATAAAAGAAATAAGATGGTATTGAGTTTGAGGCAGAACATATAGCAATCAGTCACTAGGCCTATCATTAGTACTTGTGAATAAACTGTACACTAAAACTGAATTTAGGGATTAAATAAAGTCCATTTTACTTCACCATCTGCCATTTTTTGTTCATATAGTGCTTCAACTAATTCAAAAGGTACTGTAAACAAATAAGGACTTATTGTGAACGATCAGTTTCCTTTAGATCTGCTGACAGATCGAGTGTGTCGCTGGATGCTCAGCTTGCACATCTAACAGAACACTACAAGATAAAAGAAAATAGTACCAACTATTCCAGGTACACTTTTGTAAAGCTTCAACCAGTTTTACACAGATAACGGACACATACATCTGTATGCTACCAGTTTAAACCACATTTGGAGCATTCCAAGTCAAAGAGGTGTCAAACATTTGGCCCTGATTTCAGCAATGGGGCAAGCAATGGCAGTGTTCAATTCCCATGGCTCCCCAATAAAATCCTCAATATGAATGACCAATAGGGACTTGCCTGCCCCATTGCTACTAAAAAGGCAGCAGTGTTACACTGTGCAACTGCCCAAGACCACAGAGACTCAAGAAGCTCTGGGGGGTTAGCACTGCTGCTGCTCACCCCACCACTGGAGATACATGGCGCCTTACACTGGCCAAATAAGTTTGACACCCCTTCTAAGTATTTTATGTTTATACATCCCCAGTTCTTAACAAGTGGATAACTGGGTAACGAACCTATTCACCAGAAGCCAATGATGGGTTTGGGAACAATTTCTACTATCTTACCTGTGCAATCTGATCTGTCAAATCCTCAACTTGCCCTTCCAGACTTTTCTTATCACCAAGTGCCGTGGCTAGTGCAGCATCTTTGGAATTTATGGCTGCTTCAAAGTCTCGAAGTTTGATTTGGGCCCCATTAAAATCAGATTCTTTTTTCGCATAGCTAGAACAAACAAAAGACTGCATGAGACACAATGGTTTAGAAATGCTCAAAAATCCTAAAATCAGATTAAACTTTTTTTTTAATCTTAAAATATTATACTGTATTTTTAACCACATTTTATCTTAATCTAAATTATACTGCTTTTATTTTTGGATTTAATCCAAATAAACTAATCAGTTCTGCTACATATTAATACAGCAATCCAGTATATTCATATTGTAAAGCTATGCTTAGATTGCAGAAATCCAATTCTGATAAAACTATAATGCCACCACCCTCTTCCCCCTTTTTTTTGTATTAGTTTTGTTTTTCATATGGAAACGCACAAGTTTAAGAAATGAGTACTTCAGGAGCATAATGTGCATCTTAGGGCCCAGACATACAACATTCATAGTCCTGTAATCCGTTTTTGCAGTATCAAGGAGTAGACCTGTTATGTTACCTACTCAAACCTGATGCAAAATTATACAGGAATCAGGTGTGAAACCAGTTACAGCAGTGCACATGTTATTTGCCTACAGCTTATACCAAAGGTAGCTGCTGGCTCAAGGCAAAAAAGCCAAGCAATGACCTACTGTCTCTGCCACCTAGTGACAAGGCCCTACAATAGCCTCCTACTGTACATAGTAGTACAGAAGCCTCATTTCAAAATGAGTTGGAAAGCCATTCCTGAATCTTTCTTCATCCTAATAAGCAAAGGCTACCATCTTAGATGCAAACAACCTTGCAATATTTTTTATTCAGTAGCCTTTTTCTATTCAGCACCACTCTGCAGGGTAGGCAAAAATATGGCCTACGGGTCGGATCTGGCCCATGACCGGTCCCTCAGTCCTGCCTGGCCCAAGCACTGTTCTACCATGGCATGTCCTGCCATCCCCTGGGCACACGGCCAGCTTTCCAGGCAGCCCAGGTGACAGCGGCTCCTCCTGGCTGCCAGCACCACAGGCTCCAGCCCTGTGGTACAGGTGGGGACCTGCGCTGTACAGCCCCAACCCTGTGCCTGCTCTCGGCTTGCCCACCCAGCCTCAGCAGCTGCAACACAGGACAAAAGCTGTTGCTCAGCAGGGAGAAAGGGCTGTTGCAGGGTAGGGGCTCCCATGCACACCTCACCATAACAACAAGCCCTCCCCTCAAACCCCACAACTAGGGGAGCACCAATAGAGATTTTTGCAGCTGATAACAATAACCAGTTTTTAAGAAGGCGTATTGGCCAATACCAATCCCATTGCCAATACCACCCCGACAGCATGGAGAATTGACTCGAGCTGGTAAGCCTGCTGGGGTAGAAGAGGAAGGGAAGGGGCATGGGGAAACAGATCAAGGCCCCCCACAGGGATGGAGGTGTGGGGTGGGCACTGGATGGAGCAGCAGCTTATCTGGGGGGGGCGGGGGGGTGCAGCTCCCACTGCTGCATGCTGCTTGACTTGGAGCCATTGGTCCAGGAAGGCATGGGGGGAGCACGTGCCCCCGAATGTGTGTGGAGTGGGCTGGGACTCGGGCTGCGCCAAGCTCTTCCCAGCAGGGTGGGGCTGTGCCGCGCAAAATTCATGGCTGCAGCTCACTCCTCCCCCATAGCCCACTCCCAGCTGTGCCCCACCAAGAAGAGCTTGGTGCAGCCCCATGCACATCCAGGGGCACATGCCCCCCCCCCCCCAACAAGCAGCAGAAG